CTACGCAATTTGTTTTCATTTCAGATGAATATGAATTGTAGTAATACAATGATGAGTGTTGATCAGGATTGGTATGAGAACTCGAAATAATTGATTGTGATTCGAACATACTAGAACAAATGAAAAATTTGATAAATTATGTGCTAAAAGACGTAGTCATTGTTGTCCGTATCAAATCTGAAGATGACATTCGTGAATGTAAACAACTCAATAGTTCCTTAATCGTTTGTTTTATAAAGAAGACTATCGGTAGATACTTACTGACAAAAAGCACGAAGATGTAACAATAATTTTATTTTTCCAGTAAATACGAGAAAGAAAGATGCGATATATCTTTCAATGCAGTCATTGAATTTTTTCGACTACTGGAGTAGTCGTAGGAACCTTAGCATATCTCATTTCTATAAATTTCGATCTAATATATCCACTTACTGTTCGATGACAACCGAACAATTTTTGATAATCATTTAGAAGAACTTTCCTTTCTAGTTCGAATGATAATATTGTTTTTTGTTCTTCTAAATATAGCTTGTCTAATTGTGTTTCTTTGAGACATAACTACTGATAAGTATTGAAATACATAGTAACAAAAGTGACACTCTTCAAATCCTCTTCTACAAATATGTGACAGACACATTTATATATTATTATACATTTTTGAACTACAGAGATTTATTAAATAAATTATTCCTGTATTCGAATTCGACACTTAATGAATTGAGTGTAGCATAGGTATTCAAAAATCATGCTAACAAATCCATTATCATTCAGCATATTTGTCACATCCCACAGTGTAGCAAACTTATTTCCTTTTGATTCCCAAGTCCGATAGATTGGACAATGTGGGTATATATTATTTCTTCATAGACCTCCACACTTATTTTGTCTTTGGAGGAGAAGTTTTTAGTAGTAGTTGAGTTTCAATTTGATTGCACATGGAAGAGAAAAGAGTTTAAGATATTATTGGATGCTAGTTGAGATACCTCTTATTGTTGCTACGTTTGTATTCTATGTTCAACGGAGTGAAAAGCTTTCTTCTAGATATCGCTCGTACTTAAAGAAATATTCAAATTCCCATTTGCTCCTTGGATAGGATACTTGATTTTGTAGTGTGCAGTACACTTCGAAATGAAATATGTAATTCTGCTCAAAATTAATGAACGGAATTTCATGAGAGGAATGTTGCGTTTTCGAAAGTTACAAAATAAACTTCATCGTTCTTTGTTAGCTGTATGCACAGCAATTTAGATATTGTACACTATGTCGCGACTGCAAAACATCATTATTGGCTTGTGACATTCTTAATAGAATGGCTGATTTATATATTGCTTTTCAAGTTGAATTTCCTTGACTTAAAAATAAAATGTCGTTTCAAATTCAGTTCATGACTAGAAAATTACTCAAGCTGCATGAAGGTATTTGACAGTTATGAATAATCCAAATAGAACGAATATCCATGCTTGATATTATATAGAAATAGTGGTTCAGATAAAGATTTTAATTAAGGATCGATGCTCACCTTCTAAAAATCTATGGATACAGGATGTTTCATAAATGTTGGCGCGTGACACAATTATTTTATATGTAGACCTAGCCAAAACTTTTTATATGAATCGTGAGCATTCGTGTCAATCATTTAAATGACATTTTTTTGTGTAATATCTTCTCTTGTAATAATGAAAAGATAAAAAAAGACAACGTTAGGATAAATTTTTCGTAATCGATAAAAGGATTTTGTTAAAGATATATTAATAAAGTACTGAACAATTCTAAATAAATGATAGCGTAGTAGAAACTAATAATAAACATTTAAATTTTCTCGTTTATTCGATGTTCATCACGATCCGCTGGTTATATGTTCAGTCAAGCTATATACGCAGTAACAGAGTTGAAATGGATAGAAATGTGTAAGAAAACATCGCCAGCAGAATAAAATACAAACAACAATGATTGTATTTTGAACGATTGATAAATTATTTAATAATCGGATTTCATCTCAAGAACGTGATACTAAATTTGCTGAGGTATGATTCATTGAAAGTATATATGCAATATTAAAGAAATAACTATGAGGAGATTAATTCTCAAGCTTTAAACAAATAAAAGGTATCCAAGAAGACCTGCTGTAATTTTAAAATACATTGTTCTCGTAATTAACAAAATCAAACTCTTTGAAACTTTGAGGTATCCTTGTACCTACTTTGTACTAAATAATTATTAAATTTGAGATCTATAGCTTTTACTATGTGTGAGAATCCACAATAACACTATTATGTAGTCGCTGTTCAATTTTTCTGATCACCTTGGTTATTATTTCCAAACAAATACAACTTTCGAAATAAAAAGAAATACATATCAAGTTGTCAAAGTTCACTGATTTGAGTAGCACCTTGATCAATTACTAATTAAAATCGTGCATATATATGATACAATCCTTCATTGATATAAATAAAGACTAAATTTCTTCCATTCCTTTTTAATGCAGTTTTTCACATCTCCAATGTTATTGGATTTCTACCCTTGTAATTTCTTTTTTAATACACTCCAAAAGTTGTCTATAAGCCGAAACATCAAACAGCTTTGCATCGCAATTGATTGGTTAGATTTGATTGATAAAACATATTTAAGAGTACGCAGTCATCCTTCTGTTTACTATGTTAACCATCTTGAAAAATAAAATTTTCGTAAATTATCTAACTCTTTAATTACTTATTGTAGTACAAATGTTTGAGTGAACCTTACGTATGCATCAGCAGTAAGATACATTTTCTTACAACGAATACTATCTTGTAATTTAATGAGTTCTAACCTTTCATCGATAAAAAATGAAGATTATTGAACGATTTTTATATCGAAATCATAGACCTTAAATTTTATAGTTATTCAGTACTAAGCTGGTACAATAATATGTTAAATTTTCGAAGGCATTTGCTTTTGTTAAATGCGAGAAGGATACATTTTAAAATTACTTCAGAACTTCTAGGACATCCTTTATTATGTACCAACGTGTGATTTACAATTAATTTTTCAAGTCAATTAAAATAAATATAAAAATAAAACATGGCCAAACTTTTAATCAATTCAAAGCATCATTTGATATTAGCTGTATGAAAATAGATAATGGTTCAGATTTGAAAAAAAAAATCAAATTGCAATTGTCCAGGATTTTTTAACACCGCGTATGCAAACAAGTTGCTGGTATGATTATTTGTTTGAAATATTGCAAAGAACTGTCAACAGCAAAAATAGTTGCAATTAGTGAGAAAAGGAAAAGAGATAGACTAACTGAGATTAAACCCGTCTTGCTAGGACAATATTTTCATTTTTCTGACTTGTTCTTTGGTTTTCTATTGAATGTTCTTGAGGCTTTTTTCGAATTTATTACAAACTCTTTTTCTTATACTAATTTACTGAATATTGATAAAACTCCTTTTTCTACTGATCAAATGCGTATTTGTTGTAGAAGTAATTTGTAAATTTTTACTGTTACTCATATTTAATAAGCTAATCATTTTATTATTAGTTATTGATAATTGCAGTACTGAACATTTACTCTTTATACGAATCATTTATAGATTTTTTCACTAATCAATTAATATAGTTCACTAATCAAATACACTGTTTCCGATTTCTTTACATATTCGAACTGGTTTAGCTCGTTGAGAACCTATGATATGCTTGGATATGTAACGAATGGTGATTATTTTAAGCATTAGATGACAGGAGACTATTCAGTAAACGGTGCCATAGCTCGGATCAGTTTGCTTCTGCATTTCTTCTATTGTATTAATATGAGAATCATTGTTCACATGGCTACAACATTCTTCAATATTTTCAAGTGTTGCTTTGGTTTCAAATCTACTACATCGTATTTCTTCTTCGATCTCTGTACCATATTGACCAAATCATTTAGACCATTTTTCGACTGTTCGAAGAGGAGAAAGTTCATTGTCAAAAACAGAATACACTTCGTCATGAACAAGTCTTGCTCGAATACTATGTGCAATACGCACTTTCATGAAGAAGCGAAAACCCTTCCAATACATTTTGAACAAAGATCAACAGTGTTGCAATTTAATCTAATTTTATTTGTTCAACTTTTTTAAGGACATACTTATAAACCAAAGATACACAACAAACAAACAAACGGGACGCGTGTCTTTATATATATATAATTGTATGTAGACGGTTAAGCATTCGTAAAGACGAAAAAGAACAAAAAAAAAAGAAAGAGAGAAGAAGAAAAGGAGAATACACATTGACGGCAATGCGATCTAATACTATCATCACATATCATAAGAAAAAATTCTTATCAAAATTGTATTATTATGATAGTAGTGGAATAATAATCAACTACCATAGAAAAATAGAGCATTGTTTTTATTATCAATGCATATAAAGAAAAAGTTTCTTCAAGCTTTATATAAGAAAATAAAGTACCTCCGCCACTATTTTTAAGTAGCTCTATACAACTATTTCAGCTTTTCTCAGGAAATCCATTGTCTGTGCAAATAATCCTTGAAGACGAACTAATTGGTCAAATTCATATAACAATGAAAATATTTACCGCACTATCTAACAAATGTTGTTTTCAGGATGAAAACCTTGTGATTGAAGGTAAATCTAAACTAGTAATGATATACGTGTGATAGAACGATTAACTGGCTTTTGTTTTATTGAAATAAAGAATAAAAATGCAGGGACCAATGCAGCATGAAAAAAAGATAATTAACGTATGCACAAATATTTAGGCATATGGCAAATGCCCTTGAACATGGCTATAAAGAATGGTGATGGATAAAATCCGTCACAATGCATTTTGTTGTTCATAACAACTATGTCATCACTTCGAAGGCCGATAATATATTTTCTCTTCTTTCTCTACTTCAAAGGTGCATAAACAGCCATATCTGGATTTGAAATAGAGAACGCATCACCCGCAAAGAAACGGGCTTAAGTAACTTTCTACAAAATATACTATCTACTCGTGGTTAATTATCATGAGTCTTGCTGTGATCGGCGCACCTAAAATAGCCAGTCCTTGGCAGCCTTTAAGTTTGGTAATAGCTGCAGGACTTGGCAGTATTCTAGTGATAATCGGCATGGCACTGGGTTTAGGCTTGGGTATTGGATTAAATAACAACAGCCAAACGTTAATAGTCGTGGCGACGACGACAAGCGCAACAATAGCGACTAGTCCTTCCAACATTATAACCATCACTAATAGAAATCCAAGAGTATCTAATACAGTGGCAACACCTAACACACTCACAACATTGATAACATCATCTGAAACAACAGAGTCAACAGAACTAACAGGAGCAACAATAACAACAGCAGCAATAACAACAGCAGCAATAACAACAGCACCAAGAACAACAGCAGGTTAGTTGTCTGATCATAATGGTTTTTTGTGTATCACACTTTATATGAAGTTCTATTTCAACCAGATTCATTCAAGGACAGTTCATGACTCATCACATCAATCTGTCTGTATGGGACTCTAAGAAGCAATAGCAAAATATAAAATCTTTCCTTGCCTTGGTTCATGATCTTTTAGCGTACCTATCTGTTATTTTATACAGATCTTCTTTAGTTTTGTGACTTTTTATGAAACTATTTCAAATAGTACAAGAAACTCTCAATAGAATACAGTTAGTTATAAACTACAAAAAACTTTTACTGTTTTCGAACTTATATTACTTACTTTGTCTTGTTCATATATGTTGAATCAATTCCGATTTTCACCTATGATATTCGGTGATTAAATTTCTCCTTTGTATTTTGCTTGAATTGATTTTTTTAGATAGATTGACTCATCGCATCTGTGATCATAAGTTTTGTTTTAGATCATAAGACAATAGAACCTTCTGTATCTCGCTTCTTATTTCGCCAAGAGGCAAATGTACAGCGGCAGAAACAATCTCATATATGTATGTGAACTTCAAGAAAAAGGATTTTTAGATGAGCTCAACCAATTATAAGGAAAGTGTGTGCTGTCTGATCTTTGTCTCTATCTGTGATAACTACGGGTGACACTTTTTTCTCATGTTATATTATTTCTAACTATAAAAAAAGAATTATTTATATCCCATATGTTCGATTACGGTTAACCTGCGATGAAAAAATTGCAGTTGCGCGTAACTGCGATAAAGAAATCACAGTTACGCGTAACTGTGTCGCAATTGTAAAAAGAGATGACATATATGATGCATTTATTTAATTAATATTAGTATTGTGAATTAAAGTTTTTGAAACACAAAACTATACAAACTTAGAGAAACTAGAAAATCAAAAATTCTACGAAAAATAATAAATAAAAAATTAAGAGAGAAAATTAAAAACAGGGATTCGAAAAATAAACAAAGATTATTAATAAAAAAAATTTTAAAAAATGAAAAAAATACAAAGAATAAAAATTTTTACAAAAAAATTAATAATTAAAAAAATAAAAATTACAAAAATAAAAAAATCTAAAATCTAAAAAAATAGAAATATGAAGAAATAAAAATCTAATAGGAGTAAAAAATAAAAAAAATAAAAAATAAATGAAAAATTAGGATCTAAAAAAATAAAATTAAAAAGCAAAACAAATTAAAAATTTTAAATGTAAAACAAGATTAAAATCTAGACATAAAATTAAAAAATTGAAATATATAAATAATCAAAAACTTACAATGTAGAAAAATGAAAAAATTAAGAACAAAAAAAAATTACCAATGTCAATATTCTTAAAAAATTTTTAAAAATTTTTTGGGAAAGCATTCAACCTCTTGTAGTATAATGAATTATGAAATGAAATCTCATCAAGACGACGTTTTATACACTGTCAACGTTGCTAACTTTTAGCGCTCGTTTGTAACCAATTATAAATAAAGGATAATCACGAGTAATTGATCAGTGTGAATTACAGCGGTTCGTATGATACTATTACTGTGATGCAGTTGCGTTTATCTGCGTCGCAGTAACCGTAGTCTCTAATAGTGGTTTTCACTACGCTCAATGCGCCGCAGTTACGCGCAACTGTGACGCAGAATTGGTCCTGCGCGTAACTGCAGCACAGTTGATAAAAAGGAGTCGACATTGGTTTGAATAACAGGAAAATAAGAGTTAACATTTGAATTTTGAAAAACTCAAGTTTCAATTTGAAGGAAACCTTGAAATTATCAGTGACGACTACTCGTTCTTGTATGATCATTGTGTAACCTGCTCGGTGTAAGTCATGTTAGATTGTTCTCAAATTTACAGCACTAGACAAATCAATTTAGTTTTCTGAACTGATATTACTTGTTATTAGTTGAAGCTAATATTTCGAGGGTATGTTGCTATTAGAAAAAGATTAGTTATAAGTACCATTTCGCCTCAATTCCTTGATATATACTAGAACTATCAGTTCTGCAATACTATGTAATTTGTTGAAGATACATCTTAATCATTTTTCGACATTCACTTTTATGTAACACCACATTTTAAAGCCGAATAGTAGAGTTAGCTCAAGTAGAAGATTGGTGAGAAATTCACCCGAAATGGCAAAGCTTTGATGTTCGTATTTAACTGTTTGACAAAGAAATAAGCGCTAATTGTATGTCTGGTGTCTATAACTTCAGTTTTTCCCAACCAATTCGATTGAAAATTCTACCAATACAGTCTGGTGAGATCGATGGGGAGACAGCGAACTTCAAGACTTCAGAAGACTTCAAGAGACTTCAAATTTTTAAAAGACTTCTTGAGACTTCTTGAGACTTCCTCAGACGTCAGAAACTTCATGAGACTCCAGTGAACTTCATGGGACTTTAGAAGACTTCGTAAGACTTCGTCTGACTTCATGGAACTTCATGAGACTTCACGTGACATTACAAGATTTGGTCAGACTTCATCTCTCTAAAAAAAAGCTAGCATACTGTATCTTTTTCGACACCATTTTCTGAACCTTTTTTTCGGTTCTATACATGTTCTGTAACTGGTACAAGGTTTAGCTGGAAAGTCTGGAACCTTTTAAGATTCTACACTTCCAGGCTAGAACTGAAAAATAGTTCAGAAAAAAGTACCGAGGTCTAGAACCTTAAAATATTCAAGATCTGTGCTAAAACTTTTAAAAGGTTCAATGTGACACTTTTTTTTTTAGAGAGATTAGACTTCATCGGAATTCATGAGACTCCACGAGACTTAAACAGACTTCACAGGAGTTCAGTTGCATCAGATGTTATATTAAAACCTGAAACTCAACGACTTTAAAAGACTTCTTGAGACTTCAAAATATTTCATGAAACTTTAAAGATTTCATCAGACTTCAAGGGTGAAGTCTCAGTTCTTTCCCTCTCGGGTCAAATAAAAAAGAAGAAGAATACTATACCGTTGGGCTACCATACCGTACAGGGCTCTGCGTTAGAACAGTTTCGCAAACTCGATATTTTTGCTGCATCTATTACGAAATTTTGTCTATGCAAAAGAACAACCTGTCTCAGAGTTGTTCTGCTTAATCAATTAAGTTCCCTGTACATACTGATTAACCATATACTAACTACAAAGGTTTTAGCGTATGTCAACCATGTAGTCAGTTTGTTATCGGACGAATGATACGAGACGAAGCAGTTGCTAGTGACTAGTACAAGATCACTTTATGTCTGACGAAGCCAGGGTTCGAACACAGTACCTTATGAGTAGCATGTCAAAAATCTTAACCATTCAGCTATACCGACTGCATTGGTGAAATAAAAACTATGAGTACTAGCAATTTTAGAGCCATAGGCCATTGTGAGTCAAAGGAGAACTGTTAAGAACAAATACTAACGAGAGAAGCTCTCCAGATGATAAATCGTTTTCGAATTCGGACTCTATGCATTAAGTAGATCCTGGTGAAGTATGAAAAACCCCAAAAGCATACGTTCCCTTGGACCTTCCATCTGAAGTTATGACCATTTTAGCAGAATTTTAGCCTATAGCTAAGTATGTACCAACAAATCGAATGATGTTATTTTGAGCTGAAATTCTGTCCACAGATAGGTATGCTCGTGGCTAGAATGTCCTGAAAATTTTAGCTCACAAGAGTGTTTTCTTCTCGAGATATTAAATGCCCAAAATTTATTCATATACCATGAAGGATGTGCGAATCTTAAGCTTTTTGCAAATTCAATATCTCGAGAAGAAAACATTTTTTTGAGCTGAAATTTTCAGGGCATTCTAGCCACGAGCATACCTATCTGTGGACAGAATTTCAACTCAACATAATACCATTCGATTTGTTGGTACATACGTAGCTGTAGTCTAAAATTCTGCTAAAATGGTCATAACTTCAGATGAAAGGTCCAAAGGAGAGCATCCTTTTGGGGTTTTTCATACTTCACTGGGATCTACTTAATGCATAGAGTCCGAACTCGAAAACGATTTATCACTTGGGAGCTTCCCTCGTAAGATACAGCTTGGTAATTGATGAATTCTAGAGTTGGTATGTTGTTGTAGGGAGTAATGCTTGCGGTTAGTATTTTCTGAAAGCAACATGCCCTCAAAATATTAGTTCCAGCTAGTGTCAAATAATATTAGTTCAAGAAATCAAATCGGTTTGTCTAGCACTGTAAATTTGAGATCAATGTAATATGACTAATACCGAGTATATTAGATAATGATCATAGAAGACCGAGTAGTCGTCACTGATAATTTCAAGATTTTCTTCAAGTTGAAACTTTAGTCTTTCAAAAATCAAATCTTACCTCTTTTTTTCTGTTGTTTAAAACCAATGATCTTTTGTTACTGCTATAGATGACAATAACTGGCTTTTTCATTGTTATAAATAACAAAGCCTAAAAATAAATTATTATCCGCAATTGTAACAGAAAGAATTAACAGCATCACTTGTATAGAAATGTGATGAAAGTAGCTTGTTAGCGCAGTCCCTTTAGGGCTAAAATGTGAAACTTACATATGTTCTTTGACCTCATTCAACTAAAACAGAATAGATGAAGTGAAACGTCTCTCATATATTATACTTCTGTTCGGCGATAATCGATCAGCTTGGTAAAGATTTGCCGGATTTTTATTTCTGCATTTCGAACAGAAATTTTGCTTTTTTTTACGGACGCACTATTTTTAGTTTGCATAGTTGCTATTTGCTCATTACTTGTTTTTATTTTTTTGTTTTTCTTAATTTAGCATTGTTATCATTATAAACATGAAATTATATGACAAAAAAAAGGGTTGTTGTAAATGTGCATTATAGATACAGCAGTAGGTCTTAGCACACTATTATGTGCTATCATTAACTAATAAAAACTGAGACAGTAAAATCTCCCATAGTGGACACTTTTTCACAGTCCCTCTTTCATAAATAACTTCTTTATAGTGGTCACTAACTATTCATTCAAAATAATGACTCTTCTTTATTGACCGGACGACA